ATTAGGCGACCGCATGAGAACTTACTGACAGTCTGCAGCCCTTCGAAATCCTGACTGAGATCAACGACATTGACAGGATTCTTCAAACCCGTGCGGAATCGCGGCCCCCCCCCCAACATACGACGGCCTACGTAGAGGGTTCCACTTCACCCAGGCAAGTCATGCATTTCTTCGCTTTCCGAGCGGTCGACTTGGGGTTAAAGTGGTGCATCAACACCGAATGGAGTGATTCCAAGTCGCTTGCAACTATTTCGTGCCTGCGGATATTGCGCGTCGTTTTGAAGACTACTGGAAAGTAGACCCCAGTCCGTACCAATGAATTCGACATCCGGTCTAGTACGACTAATACACACCGGGGATTCCTTATCTCAGAGCTCGCAGATCTACGAGGTTAGTAAAGTTGGGCATGATATGTATGACAGACGTATACCTTGCTCATATGCCAGAACCTGGTTAACGCCCAATAAACACCATCTCTGAAGGTGCCGGCGGGGATCAAGTCGAGGAACCGACACTAGAGAAGGTGCCGGCGGTGATCCAGTCTAAGAACGGCGCCAGAATAGCTTGACGTGTGCACGATACGTACGTGGAAGGCCTTTACTGGGAAGGGCCGTTCATTTCAGCGCGGCGCTGGTCGAGCGTTCCTTCCCATGTTCAGCATGCTACGCCGCTTGACTTCGATTTCTATCATCTGTTTGTTCCTCGCGTGCACGGTGCTCGGCGCCACCGGCCTCACCAACCAGCACCTTGCTCACCTCAGTACGACGTCTGGCGGGCTCGTTACTTGCCTCTCTGACCCCGATGTTCACGCTTTACAAGAAGCTATTCAGCTCACACCATGCACGCTAATTTACACCTTCGCGTCATGGAGTGGCCATGCCCGATACCTCATCCATGATCGAGAATACATCCAGAATGTCGCTCGCCAGTACCGGGAAGCTATCGAGTCGAAGCGTCTTGCTATCGTTGCAACGCAGATGGATGAGCCCCCGGCAGAAGGGGACCCGCGTTGGAAGTATGTCATCAACGGGAATCATTGGGATTCATTAGCTATGTTCTCCAATTCGTCCGTTGAGAGCAAGGCTGCCGTCCAGCCCACCGCCGAGAGCCTCGCGTCGGCCTTTGATGCCTGTTTGACGAGCCATCCGCCAACCTCGATCCAGAGTGAATCGTCGTTGCCCAAGGACGAGTTGTAACGACTCTCCGGTGCGTCTGGCATGAGCTGATCGCGCGCAACCCATACTGATCACGTTTGGACTTCCCAGTTGATATTAGCCGTGCCATGCTTAGTGTCCTGGACTCTAGTTGTGACTGTCGAAGTTTCCGCGCCAAGCGGTTGCGACCTTTCGAATGAGTCGGACTACCTATCTGCTGGGATATGGGGAGTCATACCTATGTATCTATAGCCGTCGATTCCGCTATTCATATAGTTCTTGTCCATGGAAGTCTTGTGTTGGCTACCTCTCGGATGCAGTGTCATGTACATTGCTCTCATCATGGCTAGCAATTATACTAAGTTCGGTGCACCTCGTAGGGTGAACACCAGATTGCGGGTTTTGCGGCATCATCTCAACTTGGAGTGGAACACTGGGAAATGGAAATATCAAGAGATAGCTCAGTCGGAAACTAGGTTCCACGGCGGTAAAATGAGAAGTATCGAGGCAAGACAACTCATAGGGAAAAACAGCATAAATATTGAGCTCCGTAGAGCTGCCACTCTGGGTAAGCGTGTCATCCTTGTGCAGGGGCCATGCTAATCTTCTCTGTATCGTTCCAATTTTTTCGTATGTCACCCCGAAGGGGACAATAAATTAAGCTCGAGGTGTGATCCTAACCACTAAGATAACACATTTTCTTCCGGTCGCGGGTCCCGCGAGACGATCACATGTCGCGTCGTGACCATCGTGTCTCCTACTCGTGTACCTCAACTTATGTTCTCCGATGATTCTCCAATGCCATCGACCGCAGATCCCGGGTGGTGGAAGAGGCCACGAATATTCGTGCTACCGGTTCTCCCACCCGAGCTTTGGATAGAAATATTCGAGTTCGCGACGTACGTCCCCGGAGCCTTACAATCCCAGTCATACAACCCCTTCGAAACCGTTGTTCCTCTCCCGCAACTAGAAGAACTTCGTTCTCTCAAGATTGCCTACAGAACGAAGCGATCTCTGGTCCTCGTATGCAAGCGTTGGCGGGACCTCGCCCTACCGATCCTGTATCGAGTTGTCCTTGCCGATGGCACCAAGGCGCTCCTCTACCTGTACCGCACCCTAACGTCCGACCTCGCGACATCTCTTCGAACACATGTCCGCAGACTAATTTGCCGCGTCGAGACTGCTGAAAAGCTCCTGGCGTCCGACCCGCTTCCAGATGTGATCAAGGCAATCCCGAGTCTTGTTATATTCAACCTGTGGTTGACGAACGGGACATCGTATTCCATGCCGGATGACGTGCTCTTAGCCGTTGCATCCCAGGGGAAGTCCATCCGGGTCCTTGACTGGACGCCTAGTCTGCGTGATGAATATGATCTCACCGGATGGAGACAAATGTTATCATCCCTGCCCAACCTGAGGATCCTCAGGTATGGATTCGGTGGGATGTCGCCATCCACCGCATCCGCTCCACCAATACGACTGCCCAACCTGACCTATTCAACTTGGGACACCTTTGGGAGGCATGGTCGTCTGACGCCCGAAGACGATTTAACCGGGCTGCGGGCGCTCGAATTCATCTCCACTTCCGCGCTTGTGCCTCCTCATCTCGGGCGTAACATCACTTCGCTCTCGATGCCAGTCGTGCCACAAAATGCCAACGAGGTTATCGCCCGGGTACTCTCGGCATTGCCCAACGTTACTCACCTTGTCCTATGGTCGCTTGTCTGGGCCATTATCCCCCACGCTCTCTCCCTACCGAAGAAGGTCCAGAAGTTGGGGCTTTGCTGGTGGTCTGGACAGCGAGACAATAATGAAGACTACGCAGGTCTTTTTGAGAACATATTTTCCATCCATGCGCCCGACCTCGAAACCGTACGGTTTGTGGGCTGGGATGAATGGGGGGCTCTCTCCCGTCGGTCCCCGCAAGTGTTATCGCGGTTCCGAGAACTGGCCCCATCTCGTACCTTCAGAGTCGAAGATAGGGAGGGCAGGCTCCTGGTGGACTTGTGGGGTCTGAGCTAAGCATTACGCCAGCAATATCCGTGTATTCAGTCCATGGTTCGTCCGGTGCCAGGTGCGCTCGGAGTCCGCTCTGTTCATATTCAGGTCGTCAGCTCCAGCTGGTGCATCTCATGCACGCCTCCGACCACCAGGTCACGAATTCTCCCGCGCATACGCCTCGGGAACGGAAGGCCACTTTCGTCATTACTGCCACGTCCTCTCCATCATAATGATCAATATTTATTCGCCTCCTTATAACTTGAACGCTTCTTTTGATATCCCGTTGCAAAGCATATCATCTGTGTGCCCCGGGGTCCAAACTGCACCACACGAAGTTTCGATCCCCGAGATATCTAACAGTGCTCGTGCTTCCCTGTTTCTTGTTTTTCGTAATGATTCTCGGATGCATAGCTGTCGCCCTCTTGTTTCAATCCCTGTCCGCCAATGTAGACTTTGACTGTCGTCGTGCTGTACATTGACGCCACACAGCGACCCTGCCCTCACGAGCAGCTTACGATGAATTTGCTGATCATGAGTGCCTCTGTATGTATATGCATTCTGCACACTGGAATCGAGGCGCTCCGTTGCTAACCATCAGATACGTGCTACCATCTATGAAGACCCAATTCTATTGCGAATGATGCATGACCGTACAATACAAGGCGACCTTTCCCAGGCCGAAATATTGCTACATTGAGTGTCCGGTTGGTGTGGCTATATCGTTAACAACAGGACAAAAACTTGTGAATTAGGACAAGGGTATAGTAAGTACGGACGTGAATAGGCATTACACTTTACAAAGCGACTGCTGCGAAGGGATTCCGCCCTGCGGACCCAGGGCTCGTGGATGGCCGTGCTTCATGATCGTCGTCAAAAGGAGTAACAAAGGGGTCGACTGCTTGAGAAGAATGGCGTGCGTGCGTGTTCGTCAGGACCCTCGTCACGGGCGTGGAAGACTCGGAGACCTGTCTCGGAGCGGAATTCGAGAGCGCGGGGACTGACGAGTTGCGCTTGTGCCGGTCTATGGGCGGCGCGAGAGATTGCGGGGGACGCGGGAGGACGTATTGCGCTTGCTGTGGTCGCGTTTGGAACGCATGGTGGATCGGGAGTGCGACGGGCGTAGAGTCGGCGTGCGGCTGTGGCTCCGCGACATCGACTACCATCGAGTCGTATCTCGAACTCACGTCCGTCGGGACGCTCGCGTTCCTGCGAGGCTTGGGCCGGAAGGAGGAAGGAGCCACGCTCTTCCTGGTGGGCATGATCACGTTCATCCAGGGTGCCCTCGGCGGGCCTGGAGAAACGGACCACGCAGACGAGGGCTCGTTGTCGGGGACGGTGGTCTCGATGGCGGGGACGTCCGGCCTGCTCGTGGATACTGTGAGAACGGGCTTGACGCGCCCCTGGACGGACTGAGTGTCCGCGCCGGGAGTCTCCTCGTCAGCGTGTCTTCGTTTCCAGAATGCGCCTGTCATTTGCTTCAGCCAGCCGCGACTGCCGGCGCCGCCTTCTGGAGGAGCGTCCGCGAGTACCTCTGTAGGCTGTTCCTCGCCATCCGAGGATTTCTTTCCGAACCCAAGGAAGCGCTTTGGGTGCTTGGGTTGGCCTTCCGACTGGACAGTACCTTCGTGAGACTCGGCCGAATGGTCCAGGAAACTATCCCAGCTCTTCTCGAACTGCGGCTGCAGCGCGTTCAGCGGGTGGTCGTGTCCCATGAGCGAGCGCCCTCTTTTCTCGTGATCGCCCCTCGCACTATCCGAGACCGAGCGGAACGGGTTCAGACTCGGTCTGGGCGACGGCATGGGCGTGAAAGAAGGAAGATCCATCCGCGAGCCCTTCTCGCCGCCTTTCTCGTCCGCGAGCCCACCATTCTCAGCGTGGTACGGGTACACGGCGCCCTCGAGCCCCGCGCGCTGCTCCCGCTGCCACTTGCGCCGGCGGTACGCCTCGCGCCAGGCGCGCCCGCGCGCGTGCCAGAAGACCACCGCGAGCGCCATGAGCACCACGAGCCCCCACAGGCCGAGGAACACGCCGAACATGATGCGCTCCTTCTTCAGCGAGTCCACGTACGTGTTCACCAGGCGGCCCACGAGCCCCTCCTTGTCGTCCGCGCCGCCGCCGATCGCCGCGGCCGCGATGGGCTGCGTGGCTTCGTTGACGTCGGTGGGGGAGAGCACGAGCACGGTCTCGTTGACGGTCGGGAGGTCGACGTTGAGGTTGTCGTGCAGGAACGTCAGGGCGTTTTCCAGTGCGTCGACCTTGGAGCCGATGAAGCAGTTGAGGAACTCCTGGATGGGCTGCTCGAGGATCGTCCCGTTGAACACCGTCGCGACGCCGCTCTGCAGCTCGTTGTAGAACTCCACCAAGGTATTATTGAGCGTCGTCGTCGTGCCGTTCACCCACCCGAACAAGCCGTCGTTGACCGTGCTCTGCATCGTGAGTATGCGCCCGTTGATCTCGCTCGCGTACGCGGACGACTGGCTGTACATGCTCGCGTTCATCGAGATCGCGATGGTATTCGAGAAGTCGGAGACGGACGACGCGGCGCGCGCGGAGTATTTGGCTTCGAGCGGGTGGATCGCGAGGAGCTGGATCTCGACGGAGAGCAGGCCGAAGAAGCCGATGAGGAAGCACGCGAGCGCGGGCGGGTGGAAGACGTAGTGGAGGAACCACTGCAGGTGCGTGTACGCCGCGGGCGAGAGGCGGAGGGCCCGCGACAGCTGGTTCGCGAGGCGCGTGAGGAGCGGGTGCGCCGCGCTCGCTTGGAGGATCATGAGGTTATGGTCGCTCAGCGTCACGCTCGGCGCCGCCGCTGTCCCTGTATGATACACCGTCGGGTCGGTCGACCACGCCTCGCGTGTGTACTCCAAGTGCGCCTTGAGGCAGCGCCACTTGTACCACTCGAGCGCGCAGTTGCCGGCGAGGAGGAGGAGCGCGAGGAGGACGATGAGGACGATGCCGATCTTGGTGATCTTGACCAGGTCGTGCCCGAGGTCGTCGACAACGGAGGTGTCGAGGTCGCCGCAGAAGGTGAGGGTATTTTGCTGCGGGATGGGAAGGACGGAGGCGTCGAAGGAGAGGTTGGCGAAGGTGTCGTTGATGTCCTTCTTGACGAGCTCGAATGGGGTGTCGACCCTGGAAGAGGTTAGTTATTATTTTCTTAGGATCACAAGGTTGGATGGACGCTCACAAGTTATCGATCTTCTGCTTGAGGTCGGAGAAGGTCGGGAGGGAGGAGTTGAGGTTCTCCAGCGTGGTCTGAAAGGTGTTCGGGATGGTCACGTTCTGCAGCGCGTCGAGGCTCGGGATGCTGAACTGCGGGACGTTGATATTACCGAATGGGTTGACCTTGTTCAGCGCGGACACGGCGCTCTGGATGACGCTGTTTGCAGACGAAACATCGTTCTGGATCGACGTGCGGATACCGTTCAAGCTGCTCGTTACGAAGTTGCTGATCTGCATGAATGTCAGCCCGGATATCACGTGCAAGCTTGATTGATACGCACATCTTGGACTGCAGCAATGAGGACGGACAAAGCGCCTCGGATTATGAGCTCCAGGAAGCAGAGGAACGTCGACCGGTAGATATCAATCAAAAAGTTGATAATCGCTTCCATAACAGTGAGCGACAACACCAGCGCAGCACGAGCGCCGTTCATAGTGCCATTCACCGCGTCCGCGATCTGCTGGTTCGTCGCCTGCGCCATAAACCTTGGCATGCTCGCCGCCGCCGTGGCGGCCTGCTCTGCGGCCTTGCAGCTCGTCAGGAGGTCGCCCTTTGCGTTGGCCACCGCGTCCTGGGCGGAGGCGGAGGAGAGCTCGAGGCGGAAGGCGATGAAGAGGAGGGAGAGGATGGGGTACGCGAGCCACGTCAGCGAGAGGAGGTGCGGGAGCTGGAGGTACGGCGTGAGCGTCGAGTAGGAGTGAGCGTCGTGGTATCCGGGCGGCGGCGTCGCGCCGCGCATTCTAGGGGAAGTCATGGACATTAATATTTAGTAGTAAAAGCACTGAAGTCAAGTGTCGACCGGCGACGGGTCCAGTCGTGGAATCGCTGCGAAGAAAGACGGGCGGAGGGAAACCCGGGGGTGGGCGGCGCATTGCTGCCAGGACGAGTGCTTTTGAGAGGGACGCGGGCATTGTCCCGGATGCGCTTTCCGTCGCTCATTGTATTCTGCAACAATAGGACGTCCCAATTAGGAAATACCTCGGAGGCTCGGAGGGCCTGCCGCTGCTGTGCGGCCTGCATTTTTACCTAACGACGTGTGAGCGTCCCGTATTTATTGTGTTACTTACGGCCTGCTATGTGGTTTACCTTTGCATGGTGGCGGTATGGTTGTCGAAAGGGAAGGTGACAAGCGTGGCGGCTGATCCGGCAACGGCCGATATAGCATTGACATCAGTGGCTGTGTGAGCCACGCGAGCGGACCCGGTGGCGTTCTCTTTCTCTCAAGTGTACACGGCCTCACCTCTCCATCTACAGATTTGGCGTTATCAAGTCTATAAAAACGAGGAAATTATCGTACTTAATCAAATATGTACTATTGCTGTGCCAGAGTTCAGGGTCACAGCGCGAGCCAAAAGGAGAGTGATCACAACCGTCACAACCTGATGTCGATCTAGAAGTACGATCCGACCCGAGGGAGAAGGACGCGTGAAGGGCGAAAATCGAAGCACCAGCACTGTATAGCCCCGAACCCAGCACCGAGCGACGATCGTGACATCACGAGCTCTGCGTACATCCAAGACATGGCCCTATATAACGAGCGACACGCCCGCCCCTTGACGCCCTCCCTCTCCCCCTCCTCCCATCACCATGCTCTCTTTACGCAGAACTTTACGTACCTTTCCACATACGCTTAGAGGCGTCCGGTCAGTGATGACGCTCAAAGACGTCAAGGTCGGTCTAGCGTCTTCCATCCATACACTTCCGCCTGGTATCGAGTGACTCACATGTGGGCGGCGAGCAGTACACGGCACACGCGACCGCGCGCGGCCAGGGGCGCAACGGCGAGGTCAAGTCGCACAACGACGCGGGGCTCACGCTGCGCCTCGCGATGCCCAAATCGCTCGGGGGCAAGGGCGACGGGCAGAACCCAGAGCAGCTCTTCGCCATGGGGTACAGCGGTAATACCATGAACACACATTCATCTTCACTTGCTAGGGTACTGAGCGGGGTGTATGCGCGCATATACAGCGTGTTTCCTGAGCGCGCTGCAGCTGGTGGCGAGCAAGAAGGGACGGGAGGCGCAGGAGCAGGCGCGCAATGCGGTGGTGCACACCGACGTGCACATGGGCGAGCCGAAGGACCTGGGCGGGTACGGGCTCGCGGTGGACGTCAAGGTCGAGGGAGTCGACGACGAGGAGCTCATCCAGGCGGGGCATGAGGTGCGGTTGGGGCTTAAGGGAGGGTAGGGCATAGCGAGACTGACTGATTGACGCGTCTGTAGGCTTGTCCGTACAGTCGCGCGCTGAAGCACGGGGCGGTGGTCAAGGTCTCCAAAGCATGACCAGGCCGGAGATAACTGGAAGAAGCAGCGAAAATGTAGACTGACATCACGTATGACCAGCGTCCTGCGGCGTCAGGAAGGACTTGCCGTGCACACATAGTTATACTGGACGAAATACTTCGCAGCAGGAGAATCAAGCTTATCGACGCACGAAGACTTCGGTATGAGAGCGCAAGCCGTGAGGTTACATCAGATATGACTGTCGTCGGAGCTGTGGGGAAAGAAGATTGTCTTGTCGGACTTCCATAAGGCCAGTCAACACCGCGTACGGGTAGGTTTTGCACTGGAAACGAGATGCCGCCCGGACGACAACGCAGTTTTATGGAAGACAGAAGTGAGGTGAGCTTGTCCAAACAGGCGAGTTGCGGAGCGACCCTTTTATCGGACGCTTCATTCCAACTAGTCTGTGCACTACCTTCGAGGACAAGCAGAGCCAAGGCAGGGTCACCAGGAACGACGACGGCTCGGCGTCGTTGTATGACAACCTATCCTGGAGCGCGTTGGAGACGTGGCTGATATCGTTGGAGAGACATGGAGAAAGCCAAAGCCGTGGCGGCATCGTGCTGATCGTCGCGGGCCCGGCGGCCACAGAACGGGGAATGCAGAGGGAGAAGCCGGCGGGAGGGAGATGTGGCACTGACGGCGGGGGACTTACCGCCGGCAGACCCAACAGCCTCCCACGATGATGCAATGCGGTCGTGGCTGCTCGCGGTGATATCATCTCTGAGGGACGCGCCGCCCGTATATAGCCCGACAAGGTTGCAAGCATCTGCACAGTCGCCTTTGCTCGCCGTCACCGCCAAGTAACACCCCATTTTTATTCGAGTTTTCTGTTCTTTTGCTACGCACGAGACTCGCCTGCCATGGTTGCTGCTATGCTCCTCAAGTCTTCCGCGCCGCGAGCCGCTCTAAGGGCTTCGACTGCTCTTCGTCAGAGTCAGAGGACGTACATGACCCTGCGAGACCACGTGGTGCGTATCCCGACCTCCCGTTCCTATGAACGTGTGCTGATGAGGGACGAGTAGTATATGGCCAAGGCGACCGCGGAGGGCGCGGGGCGCAACGGCAAGGTGCGCTCGAACGGCGACACGCTGCTCGAGCTGGACATGTCGATACCCAAGGCGATGGGCGGGAAGGGCGCCGGGCAGAACCCCGAGAAGCTGTTCGCCATGGGATATGCTTGTAAGCACGCCCGCTCCCTACACGTTCTGACGGATGCTGATGTGGTGTGGGGTGCGTAGCGTGTTTCCTGGGCGCGCTGCAGCGCTCGGCTGCTGCCCACGGGAAGAAGGAGCTCGCTGACCAGGCGAAGATCCACACCGTCGTGCGCATCGGGCACCCCGAGGACCCGCCGCTCGAGGGGTTCGGGCTCGAGGTGGAGATTAACGTCGAGGGGATTGATGACGACGAGATCATCAAGGCCGCGCATGAGGTGAGCTGCTGAGATATCTTCTGGGGGCGAGGAAGTGGTGTTGATTGGTTCTAGTTCTGCCCGTACAGCCGGATGCTGCACCATGGGATTCGGGTGAACGTCAAGAAGTTATAAGCTAGTTCGCCTCCTCCCTCCGCCCTCTCTAACGCCTCGAACACGTCCCCACGAAAATCACGATCCGGAATACCCACAAACCCAACAACCACCACAATAAACAACAACTGAAAAATTCGAACCTTTCTTGTGTGCATGTTATAGATGGCCGTCTTCCTTCCTATTTTATTGTAATATCTTGGCTTAGTTTGAATCTCTCCACGCAAACACGAACGAACTGGGGTCATTGGTACGATACGAGTCGGTGTACTGTATCTGTGCTTTGTAGCGATAGTATTCTAGTGCGAATTTAATGGGCTTAACTGCGTTACGTGTCTCTCTGGTGGGCGGGAGCTCGAGCGCAGTTCCGAGAGTGATATGTAAGAGACTGGATGCAAACTAGGTTGTCCAAAGGATCAGAATTATCATGATCGGGAGAGGTCCTGAACTTTTAAATGATGGGAATGTGGCAGTAGAAAGCGAGAACAGCTGCTCGCTGTCGCAGACCATTAGCTTCAAGGTGGACGAGGCCGACGCCGATGGAGAGCAATGAACGGTCCTTTTGCGAATATAGAACAGAGAACTTATCATTGTGACAGCGAGTACAGAGCACATGCGACATGACATGACAGCGAGCGATAGCAGAAACAGCAAACTTACAGAGTAGATACCGCACGTATCGACACAAATATACGAAAGAACCCTATCTCCGAACCAGACTTGCAGACTTCAGCTGCTTCAGGACCTCCCGCTCTCCCGCACCTTCAACGACGGCATACTCTTCCTGCGAGTCCTTCGGAGCGGCTGGGGGGGCTCTACAGATGCCGAAGCAGACGAGGGGCTCCCTTCCTCTGCGTCCGTCGGTGCGAAGCTGCCCAGAGAGGCCTGCTGAGAGCTTTCGCCACCTGATGGGAAAAGCTGCTCCGAATAGTAGGCATTCTCCAGCCTGTCTTTCCGGAGGCGCTTCCCGCCGTGCACCACGTCCTCCCGTTGATTGACGCCAGAGAAGTCTTGTCTTTCCGTCTCCCTCGTTCGTTTGGGTCTGACACTTGCTCTCGTAGATGGCCCAGGGGGAGGATTCGCGACCACGGGTACCGGGTCGACGAAAGGCGGTTCCTCATCCGGCAGTCTGTTGTAAGCGTCCCGCAATATCTTGAGAACGTTGTCGTGCGTCCTGGGGCCCTCGTCCACGAAGAATAGCGCCCGCCACTCAGAAAGGCATTGCTTGAGCTCTTCGAAATAAGGGGCGAATTCTTCGAGCAGTTCACGCCACCTGATCTTGCTGTCCATGCAGCCCACTTTATCCGCCCGCATGTTTTTGTAACCGCCGGTCATCCACGCATGCAGTGGGGTCTCCTTGATCTTTTTACTTGACCGCCTATCACAGGGCCCGACATAGAGAATGCAGATCCAGATGATCACATAGAGGAACGACTCCAAGTCCCATTCCGGCTTATGAGGCATGTTCCAACCGTCCTTGAGCAGCTCAATGGCCATAAATGGGGCGGTTCCCTGCGAAGAAACGAATGAATAATCCAAAGATGACGATCGAAGGCCCGAGATCAACTCACCGTTCTCGCAGCCTGTGCTGGTTTCCTGCTTCCGAGCTCAGGATATTCTACAGCATAGTCTAGGTCGATGAGAAGACCGCGTCTGCGGTTAAGATTCCTGTCAATTTCGGCAACCAGCATAATGTTCTTGATACTGATATCTCGATGGAGGACCTTGGCCTTCTCCAACAAGTCCTTGTGCGCTGCAGGAACAGATCACCCGTCAGTTGCCCATGTCGTGCTAACCATCCACGCCGGACATACCTTGGATAGCATCTATGAAACCCCCAATCAACTCCTTCTTTGTTCTGAAGCAGTAGATAGGCACAGCGAAGGGCGCCAAGACCAGGCGACGATGTATACGGACATCTAGGCGTGCCCACCTCTCTCGGTACTCCGGTTTCTTGAGGAGTGCGCGGACGAGTCCCGTCGTATCATCCTCCTTATTGTACTTGACGGTGTTGTGAGCAACCAACGTTAGCACGCCTTCCACTCCCTTGGCCATCTCTAGCAACTTCGCTTCCGTGAGCGTGCGCGTCTCGTCCGTCCAGCAGTCTTTGATGGCATAGACGGTACCGTCGCAAGTCGCGCGCCAGACGTTGGTGCCACGCCCACGGATGTTATGCGGAGTGTGCACCCGCTCATGGATGGTATACGTCTTGTTGTTTATCGTTATGCAACGACTCCCATCATCAAGCTTCTTTATCGATGGGTCGAAACCAAGGCTGTCCCGGCCAGCGAACATGAACCCCAGGACGAGCCGGAGAAATGAGTGAGGATCGTCAAGCATATGGAAGGAAGCGGATGAGATTTCTCCGGCACGATCGATAATATGCAAGATAATTCGGAAGCCGAGGACGGATACTCCCGGAACGAAGCGTCTGTCGTCCTGTGATTCGAAGATCATAAGGGCACGCTCGGCTAGTTGGCGCTTCGCATCCGACGTCAGAGCGGCGCTGTTGCTTTTCTTGAGCTCCCAACAGCCTACGACGTTCTCCCAAGTCATTTCCACATCCTTCTCGAAGAAAAGGATGTCAGGATGGCGACCAGTATTTGAAGGACCTCCGGGAACGCTGGTGCTCCCCGCAAACTCGCCAGTAACCGCGCGAGGAGGAATTACGCGATTATACGTAGTCTGAAGGAATGTCCTAATGTCGTCGGCGAGATATGTCAGGAAATTCGCCATCTTTGCCTCCTGATTTCCGTTGACGGACTCTAAAGTAAGGTCAGGGCATTTGTCCCATCCCTTCTTCTTCTTTCCGACCTTGTATTTGCCTCCACGTTTGGATACGTGTCGATATAGGGCGTCGAGTGGGCAAGGAAGGGCGATGTCAGGAAATATGAGTTCAAGTAGGCCAGATATGTTGGGGGCGCAATATCCACGTAGTTCCTCGTCTGCCATAATCTTGGTGTCTTCGACTTTTAACTCCGAGTTACCCTCTGGATTACCGCCCTTTTTTACCGGGGTAGACTGCGGAGGTAGCGCAGACTCGACGGCGTTGAACTCGTCTTGACGATCGTATGGCAGAGCAGTATGACCAACCGTATGCCCGAAGAACTCTAGAGGATCTCTCTGAGGCGGGGTATGAGGCGGAGTCTGAGGCGGGGTTGTGCCCGTGGACATGGTGAGGTCGCTTTGCGGGGGAGAAGAGCAAAGAAACACGCACCAAGCGACGACAGCCTTTATACGCGAAGAAGAGATATTCGAACCAGGGCCAAAGCCGACAAAACAACCGCAAATTGTTGTGGTTGGGGAGCGCGCCTGTCCGCAGGAAGAACAAGGTCACACCGCAGTGCCGTGACACGTGCCGCTGCTCAACGACGCGGGACCAGTCAGAAAGCACGAATGAATAGATTAGTTGATGAAGACGCCCACAAGCTGGTCTGGATCCCACCTTTACCAATCTCTGAAGCTTATCTGAAGGCC